CGTGTGCAGTCATGCAAAAGGGGCTGGCGTACACGGTTCAACCTAGGCTCACAGACGGCGGCTCGTCTGGGGGGTTTGTGGCCTATCTGTGGGCGCGCTGGGGAGAGAGAGGGTATGTTAAGGGCTGGGCTACAGAGCCCGCCCTGGTCCTTCCAGAGTGGCCGGCGCGGAGCCCCCTGAAGGGGGGCCCCTTATAGGTGCAACCAGACAACAACGGGTCAGTATTGTTGTTACGAATCCTTTTGCCTGGTCGAGTGGTAAGAGGGTTGTGCGCCGTAAGGCCACTGATGGCCGCGGGGCTGGTTGCCCCCGAAGCCCCTCTGGGGCCAGTCCGTCACAGTTTTAATATAGATAGGCTTTTCTTTAAAGGTTTTTATAATAATATAATAAAACTATTAAATCTAGATAACTTCCTAGGCTATATTATATTAAGAGATATACTTTACTTTAATAGTTAAGTATATAATAATATTCTATAGCTTTAAGTACTAAGATATAATATTATAGCTATGGTTTTCTAGTGTCCTGGTATCCGGGAATAGGGGTATTACAATAGTAAGGCGTGCGAACCATGTGTATAGGGCCCCTATATAGACCAACCTATAAGGGCGTTATTATAGACATATAGAAATATATTATAGATATAGTGGCTATAGCTTTTATTTTAGCTAGGGTATAAGACCCTATCTATAATATTAAAAAAGCTTGCTATAGTGTCTACTGCCTAGTAGCCTAATTTCTCTTTTCCTAGGATAATAAAAGGGGGTAGTAGTACCCCTTTTCTCCTATAGTTATTAGGATACTTTCTATATAATATATTACTATTAACTATACTAACGTTCTAGTACTTCCTACTACTACTACCCTTACTCCTATTATTCTTAATACCCTTAATTTAGATATACCTTATATATACCTACTATCCGCTTTACTAGTAGCTACTACCGCTATTACTACTAGCTAATATACCTTATAGGTACTATAGTAGCTATTACTACCTACTTACTCCTAGGTAAGGCTATAACTATTTTATAGTAGATATAGTATAGGCTATATAACTAAAGAGGTATTTTATATACTATACTAAGTCTAACTTATATTATATATATACTAAATATAATAATATAGGATTATTACTCTTAGGGATAGAGATTTATTACCTTAAGGCCTATACTATAGGTATTACTAAGGTATTTATATAGGCGCTTAAGTTAGAATTTAATATATATATCTTATATACCTATACTATATAGATTCTTTATTTAAAGCTAAAGAGCTTTATAATAAACTTATTTACTATCTAGAAGTTAGGTATATTTATACTAGCTATCTTTATAGTAACTATATTAAACCTAAAGCCTATTACCCCTATATAGTTTAGTCTAGTTAGTAATACTTTTATAATTATAGGTTCCCTAGTAAGGACTAAGTTTAATATCTTTAATCTTAATAATATATAGCCTTTATTCTACTAGTCTATTATAAAGAGTTAGGTATTACTTAACTAGATATATACCTTTAATATATTATAGAAGCTATACTTTAAGAAGGTTTCTACTTTTATAGTCCTTAGTTAGAAGGTATCCTATTTTAATAGGTTATCTAGTAGTATTTATAAGTATAGTAAGGATAATATATATCTAGATTATATATTTATAATTATTTTCTATATTCCTATATTTTTACTTAAGTATAAGATATATATATCTATAGAAGTACTATATCTACTATAGAATACTATAGAATACTATATAGGGTATTAAGATAAGGAAGGGTTAAATACCTTTACCTACTAAATAGCTAGTAGAGGGTTCTATAGGGGAGGAGGAGGAGACTAAGCCTTAGGAGTTATAGTTATTACCTATACTTAAAGTTTATAGGCTTTATACTACTATATTTTAAAGGGAGAAATATCCTAGTAGTTAGCTAGAAGCTAATATTATTATCTATCTTATTTAACTTTAACTAATCTAATTCTAGCTAATCTATATTATCCTTTTATACCCTTTCTATATATAGTAGTACTTATAGGTCTATAAATATATAGTTACTATCTATCTACTTATAGTTAATACCTATATAGCTATAAGGGTCCTTATTAGATAGATATATATAAGGCTTACCTTAAGTAGTAAAGTTAGTCTTTTTTATATACTTATCTATTATAAAGAAGTTATTTTAGTACTTAAGTATTTACTTATAATACTTTTATATATCCTTTTTAGAGAAAGGGATATTATTAATAATAATATAGTCTTTATTACTATTAAGTAGTAATATATTCTAGTAGCTACTTATATAGTAATAGGTATTAAGCTAATAGGCTTATATAGTCTTATAAAGCTATATCTTACTAAAGATATAAAGGGACTTAGGATATATTAGGTATAAGGATATATAGAGGTTTTCTAATAGCTAGCTCTTAATTTCCTAGGGTAGGACCTAGGCTCTACCTATTAAAATAGGTAGTATATAGACTAGTATAGGTAGCTAGAATATATTATCTATATAGGCCTAGATATTCCTATAGTAGAGAATTAGATTATATAGTGCCTTACTACTAAGATATAAGAAGAAGCTAGACCTATCTTTAAAGGCTACTATATCCTTCTATATTATAGACTTAGCCTCCTACTAGAGAGCCTTAGGCTCCTATATATTATTACTAATATACTTTATACTATACTTATTAAAATACTACTAGATAGTAAGATAGCTTTTTATTTTTTAAATATTAAGGTAATATTAACTAATATTAAAGAACTTAGTATTCTTAATATTATACTTCTATAGCTACTTACTAATTATATAGAAGTATAGTATTCTATCCTTATACTCCTTTTATACTATATAAAAGTACTTAAAGCTAAAGGATTTAATACTATTAAGGAAATCCTATATAAGTAGGAAGTATTTAAGGTATATAAGGAATACTAACTTTACTACTAGCTAAAACTAATATCTTATAGACTCTATAGGTATTAATAGTATATTATTATTATTATTAAAGGTTCTTAAGATTATTAGGCTTAGTACTTCTTTAAAGATATCTTTAAGCTACCTAGCTAATAGTAGCTAATAGTCTTATAACTAGTTATAGTCTTATAACTAGTTATATAATAGTATTATATAAAGAGTTATTAATAGCTAGTCTAGCTATATAGAGGAGATATTATTAAATATTTATATAGGGTCTATAGTGGTTATTATAAAAGAAAGAGAAGGGATAAAGAATATAATAGGATACTCTAATATTAGTATCCTAGTCGTCTTATATATTAACTATTGCTGCTAGTATAACCCCATCTGAAATCAGGCTGCTAGGTAGTGGATACTATAGTAAGCTTTTTTAATATTACTTAAAGCTAAGAATAAAGGTATTTTAAAGAGGTTAAATAGTATCTTATTAATATTAATAGTAAAAATAAAATATAAGGTTAATTAAATATTTAATAGTATTAGTTTAAATTTATTATTACTTAGTATATATAGATAGCTAATAAAGTTATTATTATTAACTAGGTTATAAATATTATTATCTTTATTAGTAATTCTTAATACTATTAATATAAAGAATATAAAAGATATTATTTACTTAAGCCTTATAGTTAAGATAGTAAGTATATTATAATACTTTACTATAAAGCTCTTATTAATAAATAAGTTATAAGTAATTAGAGTAATTTCTATATACTTTTATTTTTTACTAATTACCTATTAACCTAAAAAGTAGTATATAGTTTTATTTTTATAGCTTAAAGTAAGGTTATTTTATTAAAAAAGGTTATATTTAAAATCTTTAAATAGCTAATTAGACTATTCTTAAAAGATAATATTATTAGTAACTACTAATTTATTAAGTCTATTAGTATTTAAGATAATATAGTTAGTTTAGCTTTTATATTTAATTAAGATATATAGAATAGTTTTAAAAACTATTCTTAAAATATAATAAAAGGTTTTTTACTACTTATAATTACTTATAATTTATAAATAATTAAGGTTAGGTTTATCTTTAAACTATAGTTTATAAGGAGTTATTAGTTTATTATTCTTTATTATAAAGGTATATTATTAAAAAGTAATATAAACTTATATTATAACTAGTTAGAATTTAATTAGTATTTTTAACTAATATATAATAAAAAAAAGCTTATTTTATAATATTCTATTCTTAACCTTAAAAATACTATTCTATTAATACTAATTAGTAGTAAAATACTATAAATATATATTTAAAGAAATATAAAAGTTCTTAAACTAGGTTATAATATTCTTCCCTTTTTAATTTAGCTAAATAAAGTAGTATTTATATTCTAGATATTCTTATATTTTTAAGAAATTTAGTATTATATTAAGTAATTAAGATTTCTTTTTAATAAAGAATAACTAGTATATTTTAATATAATTATTAATAATAATAACTTAATATTAATCCTTTTTTTAAAAGGTAGGTAAGGTATTAATAATATTAGTATAAAGGCTTTTAAAAAGATATATTCCTTTTTAGAATAAATAAATATAGGGGTTTTTTTTTTATCTTCTTATAAGATAGTTAATATAATATTTATATTAGCTAATAGGCTTTATACTAATAAAGATAAAAATAAGTTTAATAATATTCTATTCCTTTAAATATCTAAGTTAATTATACTATAGTTTATATTTTAGGTTATTTATTATATAAGCTAATATATTAATATTTAAAGTAATATAGTTAACTATATAAACTTTAGTAATTTACTAGGTAGTAAGAATAACCCTTTAGTCTTTTATTATAACTATTTTTTCTTTATTAAAAACTATTATAGTATTCTTTACTATTAGGTAGCTAATAAAAAGTAGGCTTATTAAGGTACCTTCTTATAGAATACTATTATATAATTCTAAGGTAGTCTTAAGGCTCTTTATAGTAATAATAGCTATTCTATAAATAGTAGGTTTTAAGATAATATTAGTAAGACTTTAAATATTAAAGCCTAAATAAAGAAATAAGTTCTTTATAAGTTCTTTATAATTTAAAATATAGCTAAATATATTAAAGTTAAGTAGTATTAGTTTTTAATATAATATTATAAAAAGATTAAAATCTTATTTAGGTTTAATACCTATAAAAATACTATCTATTTTAAATTAACTAAAATATTATAAGCTTTAAAAGATAATAAGAATAAGTTAAGCTAGCTTAAAGTCTATAAAGGGACTTATATATTATTTAAAGCTAACCTTTTTATACTTATATTTATTATTATATTTTTTAATTAAGTATTAATACTTTCTATTTTATTAAAATAAAAAGAGTAGGTTTATTAAATAAAGTTTAGAGTATAACTTCTAGTATTACTT